AATTATCTAAAAAAATTAATAAATTCATATATATCTAAAATTACTATATGTCTATAAGAAAAATTCCTAACCACAGCTTCAATCGCACCCATAGTACATTTTTATGCCTTTTCTTTCACTTTCTTTGATGAAGCCTTTTTGCTTGTTCTTGCTGCCTTTTCTTTCCCCTTGGAAGGTGATGCAACTTTTTTGTCTTGTTTTGTTTTGTTTTTTTTTTTTTTTGACCTGCCTTCCTTCAACAATACATATGCCACTAGTCCCTTTTTTGTGTTCTTCCTTTTCCTTCCACTACCTTCAGATTGACTTACTTATATTTTGTGTCCATTGCCATGGTCCTGTGACCAACAGAACATAGAATTAAAATTCCATGGTGAAAAATAACAACACAAAAGTATTATAAATGTACTTACAAATGCTAGATTTGAAGTTGCAGCAACTACAGCTTGATTAAAATTTGTTAGAGCTTCTTTATCCTTAAAAGGACGTCCTCTTTTAATGTGACCTTCATTCCTTCATGTCTTCCAATGCATTTTTCTTCCATGCCTTAACAGTACAGCTAGCTTCCCTTCTTTGAATTTCTTTGGCTAGTCACACTTGGGCTTCCTTCTTTTATTCTTAGGTCTGACTGATCTTTCTATTCATGATTGGTGGTGGTTGAAGCCTTTCTCCAGCATAGTTCTTCCACATCTCCTCACCTCTAGAGCATTTAATAGGAGAGCAATAAGCAGCCAAGTACTTCTCCCTCTTATAGTTTTTTTTTTTTTTTTAACTAACACAAACAATTATATTACAAAAACGAAATGCAAAGAGTATTTTAACTCATTTATAAAGGCTTAGCTCTAAGAGTATGTTTAGTTACTCTAAGAATAACACTGACACCACCTAGTCTTCACGCATAAAGTCAACAATATTCCATTTTTGTAGGTGACGCAACCTATAACATGCAAGCAAGGAATTCCATTTAATTGACAATATCTACATGTGCATCTCCTTTCTTTGAAATCAACAACTTGAGTAAAGTCAGTGAGAAAATCTTTAACTTGGAAAGATCTTTCACCGTCCAGATGGAGTCGACATTGAATAGATAGCTGATTGTTTTCTTCAATTTTGATCATAATCCTTGGGAGCTATGTCACCATTCCCTTGATTCATGCTAATTTTCTTGTCCCTAAATATTTCCATCGACATATTTCTCAATTGTTTAGACAAGCTAATGATAGCCTTGCACTAATTGGCAAGATTCAAGAATTAAATGTTTTAGCCATGTTGTTAAGTGGGACATCACAATTGTACACATTTAAAGAATGCATTGCACTAATGTTGTCCACCCATGTTTTTTTTTTTTTTATATTTTGATTGCACAATGAGAGGTAATCATTTCTTATCTATTATCATATTCCACTCGTATGTCATGCAATTCGAACTCATGATCTCTTATTTTCAATAGAAAGAAATAACTAATAAATTATTTAAGTCATTGAGATGTTCCCCACCCATGTTCAATACAAGATTTCAATAATCAACTAAAGTAAAGGGGTAAATCCACCCTTTTCACCAAAACAAAATGTGAAGTGCCCTTAACTATTGATGGAGTGCGTTACCTCCCTACCCATAATTAAAAATAGTGCAGCCCACCCTGCATTCTCGTTCTAAAGACCATTTCTATTAGTCCAGCACATGGTGGTTTAGTGACCATCTATTTGAATGCATGGGTTAAAACAGCATGATCTAAGTTTTAAATTCAAAACTTACTTTCCTGATTTATTTTCCTAATTCAAAAAAAAAAAAAAAAACAATTTCTATCTACCTTTCCTAAATTTCTGATCTACCATTTTGTTAAGGTGAGGCCACCAATTTTGTTTAAATTGATGGTTAAAAATATTCAATCACCAATAAAATACTTATATTTATTATTTAATAAATTAAATTAATTTATAAATTAATATTTTTAAACATCATAATTAACTATTTAAAAATAACCTTTGAGTTTGGTATTGTTTTTCGATCAAATTTTTATATAATATTTTAATAAAATATTAATTTTTTTAATTAAATTATTTTTAATTAATATTTTATATAATTTAATAATCTTATATCAATATGTAAAACTTTTTAAAAATAATTATCAAATAATAATATAATTTTTCTCATAATAATACATTAAGAAAGGCCACAAATATCCAAACAGAGACTTAATAATTTTTGGGTGGTGGCCATAACCGACCTGCAGGGGGGTTTTGGTGCAGAAAGCGGTGAAACTTAGAAGAAACATTCTACTTTCCGAAGCTGAAGACAACTATGGAAAACGAATCAATTCAAGTTTTATGCGGTATCTTATCCAAACCTTTCCGATGCATTTTACTCAGAAAGGTCATTGAATCGGTGAAATTGGGTTTTCCCATAACTAGGGATTTCACTATTTCTCTTCATGGTGTTTAAAAGAAATTCAGTCCTCTAAAATCTGAATAGAAGAATATTCATGCAAGTTTTCATAGGTTTGCTATTGTTCTTGTTATGTTGAGTATGGAAGCTTACTGTTGATACTATAATTGTATCCATAACCATAAGTAGTTGAGCATAAACTGAGGCGAAAACCCTTTTGAGAAGTCTATAATGTCACATCTCTAACTTGGAAGTTATGTTTTTTTTTTTTGGATAAAAAACTTGGAAGTTATGTTAGTAATTCTCAATATCTGTTAGATTGATTACGACTTTCGAGGGTTCAGTATTTTTTTTGGATTTTGATTTTCTATTTTGGAACAGTTACACTTGTTGCAGTGCAGCTGTGAGTTTGATAGAGATACATGATATTTTTTCACATCAATAAATGGATGGTGTTTTCGGATTAATCTGCTCTATTCTTTTTCTTCTTGAATGTAAATAAATTACATGGATGTGTTGCAGACCTTTCTCAAATTGTAGCTTTGAATACTTATAGTTGCAGATAAAGATGAAGAAAATCAAAGGAGTGAAGCAACTGAATCCACTCATTCTAAGAGTCATGTGGAAGAATCAACACTGGTTCCATGTTCTCCAGAGAATAATGCTTATGCTGGTAAGGATGATTGGAAAAATGGAGATGTAGATGATGTTGGTACTGCTGGGGAAGTAAATATGGAAGCTTCAATAACTCCTGATGAAGTTGTTCGGGCTGGGGGATTTGGGGCAAGGGATGACATAGGTAGCTTTCTTCCTGTTGCAAGTGACTCAACTGATTTTGAAGCTTCAATTCTTGATGCCAAAGACTATGAAGAACCCCAGGAACTAGGAGAACCATCCAGACATGGTCTTGGCTGGAGAGAAGCACAAAAAACAGAATAGCTCAATATTCCCTACAACATAAGTGAGTTGTCAAAAACAAATTATGGTGTTTTCTTCTTTTTGCTTTGTCACTTGTAGTATGTTCTGTCTGGATTGGTTTTGTTGATTACACAATATTTTCTGTGATGACAACTTTCTGGTATCTTATAAAAAGAAAAGGCATCACATCTTTTGACAGGGCTATATCAGGAAAGTAACTAGAAATGGGTCTTCATAAATATGCTTTGAAACACCCTTTGTGAGCTACACTATACCATGTCTTTTGTACAATATAATATTTTCTCTGTTGGAATTTCATAGGAGCAACAGAATTTTCTGGTATCCCACTTTCTTCTATTTCCTTATGACTTTTGAAATCTTGTGGGTGCTGAAAAAGAGTGGGCTTTAGTTTGCAATAATTTACAAGTTTAGGAATAATAATATTTACAACTTAAATGCCTTTTGTGTAACATTGGCCTTGATGAGAACCCACATCATGAGTTTGGTATTGTCCTCTGAAAGATTCTTTGTCCAGGAGCAAGGATTGCCAATGGGTCATAGGCAGATTTTCTTTGTACAAAGGTTTCCCATTGAGGACCAAAGTGAGCTTCCCACTCTTCTTGATTGCTGTAATGGGGCAAATATTGCTTACTACCAAGATTTGCCTTGTCACAGAAATCAAGAATTCTTTGGTTTTGGGTTACAATGTGTTCCAAACCATCTTTTCCTGTGGAAGATGGAGTTGCAGAAGATAGGAATGCCACCAAGTAGATTATGTCTTCAGCTGGGGTGACCATAGATGTTTTATTGTTCCACCTACAACATAGAGAATAAAGAAGGTTGAGCATATGTCATCTGAAAATTGCAAAATGATAATTGATTGGCTTTTTTAATCAAGTACTTGGACTTGTTGACAGGGTAAATGAGGATAGGGCCATTGCTATTGTCTGTAAGAATATTTCCAAAGACCTCCTTAGCAAAGTCTAGAATTCTGCTTTTGGGTATTAGAAGATTCAACCATGGATGGGGAACTTCCCATAATCCTTTTGCACGGAGTTTTTTCTCAGACAGATGAACTCTATCCAGGAATTCAACGTACGAAACTTCTGATAGGAAGAGTGTTGATGGAATAAAGTTCAACTCTGACAATAATCTCTCAATTTTCTGCACCATGATGTCCAGAGGTTAGTTACATTTTATCAGGTAAACATAGTATGGTGCTGTTAAGAATAGCAGAAGACATTTAGTTGTGAGCCTACCTTGTTCACTTCTTCTATCTCATCTGGGTCAAAGTATTTAGCCACTTCTAGGCAGTAAAGAATCTTTCCATCTGAACTGAATTGGTTGGCTTGAATTGGGTCTTTGGGTTTGAAGGACAATCTCCAGTTATTGAGGAGTCCAGTTCTGTTTATTATTACGAATCCTTCAATATAGTCAAACGTATTCTCTGAGGATATCAAATGCTCTTGGTCATTGGAAAATGTTGAGAATTCTGAGTAAAGCACCCTGATCCACTTAACCTGTCAAAAATGGCAGATAATGTTATTGAGATATTTTGTGTTAATGAAGCCCTGCATTCTTTTTTCTTCTTGATTTGCATGATTCCAGTGAGAGTTCTTTTATATTTACCATCTTTTGTGCCGGTCCAAGAGATAATCTAGCCTGGGTTATGATGCCAAACTGCCCCAGGCCGCCAAGAACACCATAAAAGAGGTCAGCATTTTGGTTCTCTGAACAGGTGAGCACTTCTCCCTTCCCTGCATTAAAGTCTTGGCTAACATAAGTTGTTCTCATATCTGTTTTGTCATTCAATCTTTGCTGCAAGTTAGTGAAACTATAAATATTAATAGAAATGTGCACTGTATTTTCTTACTTAATACTGCATTTTGGTTATGCTATGTAGTTTAAATTTGCTTATTATAATCAAATCAATAGCAATATACATGTCACTTCTCCTGCCTTCTTTTTGACAAACTGGTGAAGCTTTTGTTTAAACCTGTCTGTATTGTGGTATAATTCTGTATGAGAGGATATAAATAGTTTCAGTTCACTGAGATATACCTGTAACAACCTCTAATTGGTGAACATTATTGATCTGGGGTCCATGCCGGAATGCCTGACCGCTAATTCCAGCATTTGATAAAGTACCCCCAACTGTCAGATGAAGGTAGTCTGTCCAAGACTTAGGTGCAAGCCCATATTTAATTGTCTCAAGTAGGATATTAATCCACAACTCACCACCTGGAACATCCACAAAAGGCATCTGCCCCGTGTGCACATGCATCTTTGGTTGAAGTGATTTCATGTTGATAACAACTCCTTGATGAGCTTGTGCTTGACCTTGGAGGGAGTGACCATGGCCTCTAGCTGCAACTGTAAGATTTGTTGTGGAGCCCATATAAAAAATGTGCTTTATTGTAGAAGAAATATCAGAAACTGATTTTGGATATAGAACTGCTGATGGGAGGAAGTGGTATCTGTTACCAAAGTCCTTGGCTGCACAGTGTATGTTCTCAAAACTGAAGTAGCCATCTAGGGGTAGTTTTTTCAGTGAAAAATGAACCTTGGAGGTACTTGAATAGGGTGGAGTTCTTGGGGCAGCAAAAAAGTGGTTGGGAGTATGTTTGCTTCTATCTGGCATGCAGCACAAGACTAGAATCATGAAAAATCCAGAGAATAAAATGTTATTTTGTTTGAGAAAGCTAGAAGCTAGTGAACCCATTTCTTGAGAACACCTTGGTACTGTTAGCATGTGAGTGATGGAGAGGCTCTGAAAGTTTTCTTAAAGCTAAAGGAGAGGTGTGGAAGAGTCCATGGAAATGAAAGGCAGAGGTGAATTTAAAGGGGAAGGTTGTGGTGGCATGGTCAAACTAGTCACATATTCTAGTCACATATTAAGATGCCACTCAAATTGTCTATAAGTTTGAGTGTGTTTAGAATTGGATTACAACCAGAAAAAAATTCCCTCAACTTTTCAAAAATAATCCTTCTTGGCCCTCTACAGAAAAAGTAATGTAATCTCAAATCTTTAGAATATAGGCATCATCATCCCTTTGTTAACTGATGTTACAAAAGACATCATGTTTGCTTTTAACCCAAATGGTTTCTGGCATGGCTTCCATTAACATTTAGAATTAATTTTTAACTATAAAAATGGGTAAGTAACAGCAATGATTAGCTACCTAGAGAAATCCAAAAAGAAAAGTAATTATGAAAAGAGGTTGAGGAAAATTAGGACCTCCTAGTAATTAAAATGTCATAAATGGTAATGAAATGATTAAAATATACTTAATGAATCAACATGCAATGAACATTCATTAGGAGTATTTAAACAATTTTACAAGACGTTTTGATTTTCATTTTTTTCTTATGAAAATAAAGCCATCTTTTTTCTTTGTCAACAACAATGTTTGTTATATAGTATGTACTCTATGTCTTTTTTTTTTTGAAAAGATTAAGAACAAAATAGCTAGAGGTACTAAAGGTTTCTATATGTGGACCCAAATCTTGTTCAGAAACATTACTATATGTGATTTGTGATATTGATATTTGGCATCTATGCTACATTTATTCTTTAAGGTTAATAGTAGTTATACCACAAAGAGAAGGTTACTGTGTATATGGTATTTTCTACCTTTATTTATATTTTTCTCTGTGATTGAAATTTGGAAATAAGATGAAGGAATGAGTAGCACATATTTTTGGACCATGCAATAGAATATAACGGTTGGATGGGGGCAAGGCCTCCAATATCAGGGGTCTGTCCCCTCATCCAAAGGCCTTTGTTGTGCAGTCTGAATTGCACAATAGGTTTTCCTAAAATGTAATTCTCCTTTTTTTTAATACTTCTCCATTTATTGCCCATTTGGAGATATGCATTTTTTTCTTGAATATAGGACATGCAATAAAGAAAATGTCTTTGTAAGTGTGTGGTTATGGTTGTTTGGTTATTATTTATTGGTTTCAATCTGGTGATGATGTTGCCCAACATTTGCGAATCAACACTGGAGGTGACAATTTTCTTTTTGCATGAACTTAAGCTGCTTGCTCACAACTTGGGGGAAAATGGTGTAACATTTCCAAGAGGATTATGATTTGGTCTATAAATTCTGTGTCAAGTGTGTTTATGTATTGGGTAAAATATGGACACAGACATTCATCACCTATGTAAAATATTAAAAAAATAACCGAAAAATAGAAATTTGCTATCTAAAAGGAGACCAAAGAAGGATTGAGTTAGGTCAAATATAATAATATAACCCAATGATGGCCATATCAGATTGCATATCCAGCAACTTTTAATTGGACATTTAAGAGTTGGAGGGAGCAAATGAATAAATGACTTGCTTGTCCACTTTGTTCCATACTAGCTTACATCAGCTATATTTGTAATATTTATTGCTCATATTTAGAGAACATTTTTGTTATATATGAGAGAATTTTATTGTTGTAATAAGTGGTCATGCTTCTGCATTTATCTACAGGATCAGCTGGTTACAAGGCAGTAATTCACTCTGACCTTAGAACAACAGCAACCAGTAAAAACAGGACCAGAACATCATAAGGTTGGTATTGTAACTTGTCAATGAAGCTTTAGTTTGGTGAGGTAGAATGGTAGATATTCACAAACCCATGTGTCTTATTATGACTGTTCTCCTATGCATCTCACTTTTCAGTTTGTGTTTCTAAGGGTTAGATGCACATTTGGAAGTTGATTTGGTGATGGATTGAATGCTTGCACTTAGTTGACTAATTTATTACTCACAATTTTTTTTTGGTACCTTAATCATACCGTATCCCTGTAGGTTTGATGTTTAGAACTAGTGATAGATTGAGGAGATCAGTGATGAAATTTAGGTTTAAGACATCATGATGAAGGGCTGGTGGGGGTCAGTTATGGACTGAAAGGTGGGATGTCAGGATTCATGAATGTCATTGCCTTCACATCACATTGCGAATAGGGGACAAGTTGATTGAAGGTCCTAAAACCTAAGGAGAATGGAAATTAGGCTTTCATGGTTTCTTATCTCATGTTCCCCATTCACTTACATTCTACTGGTCTTATCTTGTTCTGCCTGTTTCTTTCCATCCTTTTCGTGAAAGACACTACACTTTTCTGTTTGCATCTCTGTGTCAACACTTTCTGTGGTTCCTTCACTGAAGATATTTTGAAACAGAGAAGACCAACTTAAATCTCCAAGTTTGATCACCTTTTTTGTCAACCTTTTCAGACTTTTTGCCCAAGGTATATTATATGAGTTTATGGTTAACCTAGTTGATAAAAGCCTGTTTAAAGGTTATATTATGCATGAGCTTTTATTACGTTTTAGTTTTTCCCTCCCTTTTTGTAACATGGAATGATCTATTCATTTGAATTAGAAAAAAGGTTTCGAACTCTGATATTTCTTAGAAGTGGGACAGATTTAAGACTTTTATTTAGTAGAGGTGAACACATTGAAGAAAATTTTTAGTGAGGATATATTTCAAAAGAAAATAATGTGGAGACCAAATTGCAACATCATGGCCCTTGGATGAGCAAGGCTTATGCTGGGATCCACTCATCCAAAAGCCCTAGATTTCGCAGTTGTTCAAATATTTTATGTAGGTTGTAAATGTTCCTTTCATAGATGGATCAATTGCTTTTATTGTATATCCTTCTGTTAGTTTATTAATAGAAGATATGAAAACTAGTCATATGTTTGGATAGAAAATTGTTCCTGCTCTTTAATCTGGACTGGCTAATTTTAATGTCAATTTGGGTGTGAAAAGATAAAACTGCCCCTCAATGAGCACGCTTGACGATCATTAAGGGTATATTTGAGTTTTATACCGGACTAGGATTAAATTAGCCAATCCGGTGTATCATATTTGAATTTAAGATTTGTCTTTTGAAGACCTTGTTTAATTAATAAAAGTTCCAGGTGATTTTTTTTGTGGAAGAGAACAGGAAATCAGTTCTGCAACAAAGAATCCGTGGACCGGAAATCAGATCAACAAAGAAAAATCAAGGGCACTATATATATAGCTTATCACGTCTAAACCATCATTTCTGAAAGGGTTGCATGCACATGTGCATCAGCTGGAGATGTTCCTTAGGTCCAATAATGCATCTTCCATTTTCAAAGTCTAAAGGTGAGAGCTTAGAAAGTCTTCAATGAACAGGAAAGGTGCCATGCTTAGAAAGTTAGAATTAACATATGCCCCAGTCTTCCACATAAACACTAACTTTAATTCTTTGGTCCTTTCAAATTTTCCATCATCCTTTTGGCCTATGGAGTATGGAGGACTAGTTGGTTTCACATTTTTCTGTCACTTGAAATCATTTGATAATGGACCATATAACAGGGATATGTTTTTTTTTTTCTAAAAGCTTTCATCATCTCAAAATTTGAACTTGAATCCTTCAACTTAGAGTCTTAGAACTCCTAACTAGACACTCTTGTGGGGCATTACCCACCTTTCATTGTTTATGACAGAATATATTTTATCCCCATAATGTCTTTCTTTGCAAAAATGAGATATCTCCAATTTATGCTTAGATTTCTCAAACTTGTGTAAAGCAAGACTTGAGCATGAAACCGGAAAATATCAAGTCTTCTATATTACCACTAATCCAAATATCAATGGCAATTGCCATGATAGTTTAGGATTGTCTACATGCACAGACTGAAAACAAATATGGAAGGTGGAATGCTGGGAAAGAAGATGGACATGATGAGGAGACAATATTTTTTTATACAATTTTTTTACACAATCTTATGTTTTTCATGTGATTTAATAAGTGGTTCTTTTTTATTTATTAAGATCTTTAATATTATATGTATTTATTCATTTAATATAAAATTATAATGAAAAGTTGTGGGAATAAGTTGTGGGAATAAGTTGTACACATAACAGTCTTTTTTTTTTTTCTCTCATGTGTGATTACCTTTCATTTATTATTAAAAAAAAATCAACTTTCCACAGTAATTAATAAATTAAAACCACTATAACTACTTAAGCCCCTAAATGGTTACCACTAGATTGGGAGTTCGATAATAATAATAAAAAAAATTATTAAATTAAAAAAAATCAAAATTACTAGTCAATCGATTTTGAGTGAATGGATTGAAAGAGATCGGCATTTTTGTGAGGCTCTCAAATACTGAATTTAGGAGGAGGGCAATAATAAGTGGTTGGGGTCTTAATACCACGTGGGTTCCCACTTGCACCAAGTGATATATATATAAAAAAATAAAAAGCCCAAGAATTATTGGTTCTAGAATTCATCATGTGGGGCAATTGCGATTCAAGATAGTGAATATACACATTACTTTCAGGCTCTCAGCTGCTATATTTGATAAATTTTCAGGACCAAATTATGATTTTTCTTGTTATTTTGGATTTTAGTTTTGAGTTAAGATACCTACTAGTTGTAACTCTGAATAAAGTGTGTGATCAATAAGAGTTTGGTATTTTAAAATAGAAATTTTAAATTTAAACCTTAAAATAACTGTAAAAATTTAAAGGAACAAAAAATTTATATTTTATTATATAAATCAAAATGAATATTTCAAGAGAGATGAGCAGATTTTCAATGTACTCAATATGCATCCCATCCATCTAAAATTCTGAATAAGGTTTACTCCTCTGTAATTTTCACTTTTTTTTTTTTAAGAATAGGTAAAAAGAGCTAATAAAAATTATTATTACATTATGTTGTAAGAATTTGTTATCAATAAATTAATATCATTTGTAGTTTCTCAAAATCAAAATTTGAGAATTCAAATCTTCATATTAGAGGTTTAGATCACTTAAAACATACAAAAAAAAAAAATGAATATAGAAATGAGAATGTTATTTCTATCACACATATAGTTCTTTATAATTTTTTTTAAAGGTAAAATGATATATTCATGTTTTCAAGAATGCAACAATGATGGAGCAAGACCAACATAATAAAAGTTATGTATTAATTTGATATCACTTTACTATTTTCTATCAATATTAAATTTAACTTTTTTCTTTTTGTAGAATATGTGAAAAAAACTAATAAAAGTTATTAAATTATGTTGTAAGAATTTGGTATCAATAAATTATTGAAATTTATAGTTTTCTTAGAATCAAAAATTAATAACTCAAATCTTTATATTAGAGATTTAGATCACTTAAAACATACAAGGAAAGAATATAGAAATGAGAATGTTATTTCTATCACACATATATCTCTTCATAATTTTTTTTTTAAAAGTAAAATGATATATTCATGTTTTCAAAAATGCAACAATGATAGAGCAAGACCAACATATAGTTAGCATCATAACCTTTATCCCTATTTTAGGGCATGAGGGAGGACTTCAAAAAATGGTGAGACATGGTTTGACAGAAAGTGACCGACCACTTTGGAAGCCTAGCAAAGAGGCACATTCGGTCTTGGACCAGGTTGTTTGACACGTATGGTATGGACCCCCTTAACCCTACAAATGACAATGCCATGTGGCTGGATTTGTGTGCCAAACATGGCAGTTGGAGGTCCAAGTTAATTGTTTCGCTTTGCAAGACATTGTCCAACTTTTGGCAGCTGAATGCAGCATGGTGGGTTCAACTGTTTGTGTAGTGGAATTTGGGAAAAATCGAAGCTATGGACTCGATTTCCACCCCCAATGTGACTTATGAGGCAAGTAGGAAGGACTAGAGGTACATGAGGACAGCGGCATTTGTTGCTTTATTGTTTGTTTTGGCATTCAATTATTCAAGTATTGTATTAAAAAAAGATGATACTTGTTGAATATAACAGTGTTATTCAATTGTGATAATATTAAATTACGTAACTTAAATTATTAAATGAGAGACATATTCTTAAATATTGAAGGCTATTTCATCTAATAGTTTTTACTTTTTAATTTAGTATATAGTCCAAACTACTAAACATGACTATTTATTGAAATATGCTTTAATTTATATTATTCTATTGTATTAGACAAGATAAGATTAACTAAAACATATTTTAATTTGTTAGAAAGTGATGTTTCGCAATCCAAGATGCATTGGACTGCAAAGTCAAGTAATGGTCGTTGAGGAGTGGGACTCAGCTTGGTTCTCACTTAAGTTAGGACTTAGATTTTATAGTGCTTTACAGGTCTAACAAATATTATTTCTATTTGTATTACAATACACTGAAGAATTATTTTTAAAGAACAAAAAAAAAAAAAAAAAA